GTCTGGTATGTGGAGAGGTTCTTGACTTACAGGAAAGTAAATGTTGAACGTCAGCTACCTCATGGAAAAGTAGACCCCTTGGAAGTCCCCGTTTGGAAATGGCAAGAGATTATGATGGATTTTATCACCAAATTGCCTCAGATGGTGTGTGGATTGGATTCGATATGGGTTATTGTGGACCTATTGACCAAGAGCGCATTTTAATACGATCCAAGAGAGTATTTCGGTGGAGAAGTTGGTCGATATCTACATTCGGGAATTGGTGGCACGACATGGGGTGCCAGTTTCTGTGGTCACAAATAGGGATGTTTTTTTACTTCCAAGTCCTAGAAGAGATTCCACGAATAGTTGGGTACTCATATAAACTTCAGCATGGCTTTCCACCCATAGACTAACGGTCAGAGTGAGCGGACTATCCAAACATTGGAGGACAGGTTTCAGGCATGTGTTCTGGATTTTGGCGGTAGTTGGGATACATATCTTCCTTTGGCGGAATTTTCGTATAAAAATAGTTATCACGCTAACATTGATCGACCTCCTTTTGAGATGCTCTACGGGAGGAAGTGTATGATCTCAATATGTTGGGGTGAGGTCGGTCAATATGTCATGGGGTGTACAAAGGTGGTACTTAAAAAGAAAGATTTGATTCAGCAAGTTCACGATAAAATTCAGAAAGCACAAAACCGACAGAAGAGTTATGCAGATAGAAGCCGAAAAGACTTGGAGTTTCAGGTTGTTGACATGGTACTCCTAAAGGTGTCACCACGAAAAGATGTCATCCGATTTAGGAAACAGGGTAAGCTAGGCCACAGGTATATTGGTCCTTTCAGGGTGATAGCCCGGGTGGGCAGGGTGACATGTAGTTTGGATCTGCTAGAGGAGCTCAGTCAGATTCATAATGTTTTTCAAGCCTCTCAACTACAGAAGTGTTTGGTTGATGATTCCGTAGTGGTTCTATTGGAAGGCATTCAGGTGGATGATCGTCTGAATTATATAGAGATACAGGTGGTGGTCCTTGACTGGAGGATGAAAAATCTATAGAACAATGTTGTGTAATAAAGGTGCAGTGGCAGCACCGAAAGGGTTCAAAATGGACGTAGGATCCGAAGGACGAGATGAGAGGGAATTACCCCAAGTTGTTTGAGGTGGCAGACTTCAAGAACGAAGTCGAATTCAAGTGGGGAAGAGTTGTAACACCCGGATCTTGAGGTACATTATTCATAATTAAATTATCATTTTGAGGATTTCCACAACATGGTGGAGGCACCACCATGTCATGGAAAGGTGAAAAGGGTTCGCATGTTTGATTTAAGCCAGCACAACATGACAATAATGGCCATGGTGTGGTGGACGGCTGGCAGTATTGGCCACGACGTGGTAGACGGCAGACATGAAAACCCTATTTTTCCAAGTTTGCTCCATATTTAAAGGAATGATGAGGTTAGGGTTTGCTCATCCTCGGCCTCCATCAGTCCCCTCAATCCATAAAGAAACCTAATCACTTTCCTCCATTATTGAGCTAGTTTTGGTGTTCCTTGAAGCTAAAAAAGGAAGAAAGAGTAAAAAGGAAGTAAATATCAAGCAAACAAGCCTCCTTTTTTTCACCTTAGCACTCTTCTGGACATTTGTAAGTGTCTAAGACTCGATTTTTATCAGGCTAGGTTGCTAGATCTTGAGTTTTGTCCCATTAACTTCTTGTTTTTTCTTTTTGGGATGGTGAGATCTCTTAAAGTTTGCAACTTTATGAATCTCTGGGACATTTGGTGTAATTTGTGCCTTGGATCTAGAGTTTGGTTGGGTTTTCATTCCATGCATGAGATTTAGGTCATAAACCCTCATTTTGACCTAATATGGGTTGAAGACATGCATTGGACATGCATGTCTATAAAGCACCAACTTTTAGGTTAATTTTGGTGCTAGAATCAATATTGGAAAGGATGGACTTCGAACCTTATGGAATAAGTGCTTATTGGTTAAGATCTTGCATTGTTAAGCCTTTTGGGACTTTGGGAGTTGGGTTTTGGACCTTTTGGGTGGTCATAATGGATGAAGTTGGAAACTTTATCCATCTAGATCACATTTTGGAACAGAATGAGCTTTGGAGCTCTTGGAATCAAAGAAAACAGCTTGATGCATTAAGTTGTTGGAACTCCCACCTACCACGGTGTGGTCCTAGGTCACCATGACATGGCGGCTGGGATTTTCCTGACTGTTGGTCATATGCGGGTCACGACGTGGCCTAGGAAGACCACTCGTGTCGGTCGGCTAGAGTCAGCATTGACTGTTGACTTTGCCTATTGACCTTGAGGGTTGACTTTTGACTTTTTGATTTTTGTTTAACTATTATGTCCTAATAGGTAGATTAAGGTTTTGCCTTATGTGATTATCTAGGTGGCATTTAGCACCTGCTGTTGACTTTTGAGTTGTTGTGCGAGGTGAATTTGCTCACTATACTATAGGATGCTATGGATTGTATGTGCTTGTAGTCTTTATGACTCTTGTTGTATGCATTGTATGCTTGTGTGTCTGTTTGTTATATATATGTGGGGTAAAATAGACCTGGTACAGCCTTGTGTTGATATAAATAGACTTTGATGTACATTTAGGATGTTTATGGATACCCTTTGAATACCTTATGGTTTTGAAAAACATGTATGGTTGATGGTTTATTTAATATAAAAATAATAAATTTTAGTTCTGAGTTTTGGGATGTTACATCAGAAGTCTTTAACCCAACATGTCATGTTTATATTTGTTGAAACTAAATGAGCCACCATATCTTGTGTTGAAACTGCTAGCAAAGTGTATTCTTCCCCTACAAATATTTGTCTAGTCATAATTGAAAATATTAAAAGGTAAGTATGTTATCCCCTCTTTAATCAATCTTTTTCTTTATATATATTTGGACCGATAAGTTTCCTTAGAAGCATGTTGTTGTATGCGACTAAATCTCTCTAAGTATCTCATTAGTGAAACCATCTGTTAAGATGACATTGAGTCACACACTTACACTGATTATTATGCATTGAAATATCCTTCAACATGAGATTGGTTAGTCCAAATAAAAAAAACTATTATAAGGATTGGGTGTTTATTTTTGATTAACTGTTTTATCCAGACTCCGTCCTTAGAAGCATGTTTGCCGTATGCATTTAGTCTTATGTTCTAATGAAACATCGAGCATTACCCAGTGGCTTACTCTTATTTCATAGTCATCAAACTGAGTGTCACTTGTCTGGTCCTTCAATGATAAAGGATTATTCATGTCCTTAGCATCCTAGTCTGAGGTATGACATGGTACCAATCTGAATTGACGGTGGCTCTTATTCGCCTAGCTCTTACTATTCTATTACTCGATGTTAATGATTGGCTGTGAAACCAACAATTATTAAAACATTTGTCCTCCATGTTAATGATCTTACTTAGTGAAAAAGTATTCTGAAAATCTTATTTGATTTGTTCCTTAAAATACCAAATCTGCATTTATCATTGAATATTTAATCCCATCAAATCAAGACTTGATGTAATTAGAAGATTTGGTGTATCTACATAATTTTTATCTCCTATGTTGAGAGTAGTATTTATATTAGCATCTCTCATTAGTTGAGAGTTGATGATTTGTATTGTTTACTGAGAGATAGAGTTTACGTAGACTAGATTTAGAGTTCTTGGTGAGTTCTAAATCATTGTACTCGTTCTTTTTGTGAGAACATACTTCTTAGTGAAAAACCAGATAAATAATATTGATAATTATTTGTCAAATACTTGTGTTATTATTCCTTGTTTCTATTAGATTCAAGCACATGTGTTCGGGTTTTGGGACGAACAATAACATAATAACACATTAAAAGAATAACATTCGAGTAGTAGATCAATATATGATATTTACTTAAGTTTTTGACTTGGAGCCCAATTTTCCATGACTTAAATATTTCATTGGTGATGAAGAATGGAGTTCAAATTCTTGAAATTAGAGTGGAGTTCACAATAAGATTTTTTTTTTTGGTGTTCGATCACAATAAGAACGAAAGGGGAGTAGGAGAAGTTATTTTTTTTGGTAGCAAAGCTGATGAATCAATGGAATTGATTAATCGAACTATTGTGTTCGATCACAGTAGGAAGCGAGGATGCTAGGGCGATGACTTCAACTTTAATGGTGTGTGTGTGTGTGCAGGGGGGGTGTTAAACTTCGATTGATATTGGCTTATGGGCGGATACATCAATACACAAGATTATAGTGGGTGGATACGATCATCGATCAAGTGATTATTCAATTTCCTGATCAGTCTTTTTGACTCGATTAAACTTTTATTTGGATAATCCAAACTAAATAACTCGAAAACCAAATTAGGCTAAAATAGATATCCAAAACCAACCCAAATAACTTATTTGGTTTTAATTCAGGACGATCCGGTCCAAATTTCGGTTTCGATTCAAATACTCGGTCCAAATACACATTATTAATTTTTTATACTTTCAAATTTTTGAGGAATTTATGAGAAAATAGATCTTAATGTTATTTTCTCTTATTTTATATGTCGATGTCGCCAATAATATGTCTGTTATTTTATACTTTTTTCGTAATCACCTCGTATTCCGCGCTTAATACGTGGGAATCTAAATGGGCCTTGTCACCCCACCTTTTGAGCGTTCATCGTGTACGTGGCGCCCCACCATTACCATACTAAACCACAGCCGTTTTAAAACGGCTTTTACTATTGTCGTTTGGCGCCCACTGTAAACAAACTTATTTCTTTATTTCTTTCTTTAAAATTTAAACACACCCACCGTAAACAAACCTAACCACTGAAACCAGAAATTAGTATTTATTCCTTTATTTATTTTATTGAAGAATTAAAACCCACTTTTCCGGCCCTATAAATACGTTCCTTGAGGAAAGCTATGTTTGCCAATTTACACACACAAAGCAGTCTTCAAAAAAAAGATCCTCTCTCTTCTCCTTCAATACAGTTACTTTCTCTCTCTACTGTTACACAACAATGGCGGTTTCAACAAGAAGAACAACCGGACCGGTGTTAAGATCTCACTCGCCAGCCGGGAGATTCTACAACTCGTCGTCGTCTTCCTTTGCCTCAGCCAGCTCCGCTTTCTCATCCAGATCCACTTCGTTTTTTGAACAAAGATCGGCGTCGCCAACTCCGGTGAACGTATTCGGAACATCGTCGTCGTCCGTACGGTTTTCCTTCGACAACCGTCCGATTTCTCCAAGCAGATCAATATCTTCGCTGCCTAGGAATCATAATCAGGCGGTGAAGAAACAGGAAACTCCGAAGAGGACGTGTATGTGTTCACCTACGTCACATCCAGGATCATTCAGGTGCAGCTTACATAAGAACACCAACAACAACAGTAACCACCACAATACGGCGACGTATCCTTCAAATCGTCTCAACGCGCGGAGGTCGGCGATGACTAACTCGCTTGTCCGTATAGGAACTGTCGAAGGTGGTGATTTGGTGAAGCGAGCTCTTGCGGCGTTGATCCGGCCATCATCTCATCAGCAACGACGGAGAACCTCGTTTCAGGCTAGGCCTAGTCGGCTATCAGTCATGTCAAAGGCGGAGGAGTTGTAGATTTCAAAAGTTTCGGTATGTTCGTTGATCACACTACAATCTCAACTATCCGGCGGCATCGACGGTTAACAACAGATCGTGGAGAAATCGGAGATCGAAGAGATCTGGATGAGCAATTTTTTTATGAATTCAGGGGACGGAAGCAAGCCTTACATGATAAATGACCTCTTTTCATGTGTATATAGATATAGATGACAATATATAAATATCATCCGTTGATGCCATTAATGGCTAATCAAGCAGAGCTTCAGCTCCAAAATCCAATCTAATCACCCTCATCATTAAAACATAACTCAATTCAACTACAATCACCTCAATCTGTATACAGTGAGCTTTCGTCTGTGTTGATCATCTCGATTTCCATCGTTGATTATCTCCGTTCCCGTCAAGTTCAGTTTCTCAGATTTCGTTCCATTGAGCTCAGTTCCGTTCCGTTAACTTCCGTTACGTTCCGTGTTTGGGATACGTGATATTCCGTTTCTTCGCCGTTCCGTCGTCTGGTAAGAATCTATTTTCGTATTTTCGTATTTCAATTTTATTATTATTATTTTTTTTCGTTTTTTTCTTAATTTGCAAGGTACGTAGTTTCTTCATTGTAGACAGGCTGGACTTTTGGATACAGAGGTGTGGATCGTTGTGCCACTTACGACTTTAATTTTGGTGTCGACTATATGGACCACTTACCTTTGCTTTGGATGATTCTAGGCATATCAATTATTGGCACCTAAAAACAAGCGATTATTTGTCTCTCACCATTTAAAAACTTAAGAAATTAAAAAACAAAATAAAGCATAAACTTGGAGCTGATATGGTGAACTACTTAGAGTCTTATTTTACATACATACGGATGCAACCAGAAGTATGGAATTTGGTGAGTGGTAGCTAGCTGTTTTCAAGAACAAGATGCATCGAATTTAATATATGAAAATATCTTAATAACTTTTGCTTAATTAAACTAATTAGGTTTACTAATATTATAATTAGAATGATAAGAATAAGATCTAGTG